TATATTTCTGAAATTGCGCCATGGTGTATAAGAGGCCGTCTAGTCACCGTCTACTCTCTCTTTTTGGCGGGAGCTGAACTTGTCGCTGCCATTATTGATGGCATCTCTAGCCCTTACAAAAAGACAGGATGGAGGTAAAGAGATGCAGAATAATTTCTTTTGTCTAGCAAATATCATTAGCCATGGAAAGGAACAGTAAGGTCCTCAAGTTAATGTTTTACTTACATCCATCCACCAATAGTAGACAAAATATACAATATCATAGATAAAAAAAAAATTAAAAATAAAACAGTCAAAAACAAAAAAACAACAACAATGACAACAACACAGAATGTTTCCAAATATATCACTCATACTACTCACTCTGGCTCATCGGGGCCTTTGAAAAACGCCTAGTGGTCGAAAGCGCTAGTCCCGTGCCCAGAGCTTTCACAGCCAAGCAAACATTTCAGTTACAGTTGCACGGTAGGATTTGGGTACAGAGGCATTGTGCGAGTAAAGGATCCTGCGACTAAAACATAACACAATGACCCTGTCAAGGCTTGGGTACCAGCATGTGGTCGGTTCTTATTTCGATACTTGCCCGGGATAAACTCAGGCAGTACTCAGGATTTTAAGTCAGATTTCACCTTTCTAACGATCACAAAATAATCTCACTATTGCTGATGAGTTCCTGATGAAAAAAATGTTGACCTAAGACCTCCTAACCATCTCTAAGACGTATTAATAGGAAAGAAAAAAACACAACAAGTCGTCTTAAATCATATTTCCTTTCGGTAGGTTCATGTTTGGGTTAGCTGCAGTCCCGTCAGCCATCATGTTCTTGGGTTGTCTGTGGCTTCCAGAGAGTCCCAGTTGGCTTGTCAGCAGGGGTGCCTGTGAAGATGCAAGGGAAGTTCTTGTAAGACTTCGAGGAACGACAGATGTGAACGAGGAGCTGCAAGCTATACAGACCGTCTGTAAAGAAGAGGAATCCTTCGATAAGAAAAGTAAGTTTGTGAAATATTGGAGGGTTGGGGTATTGATTGACTCCTCCACACGAAGCGTAAAGTTCTTTCGAGTGGTACTGTTTACGTTTAATCCCGATGTAATCCCGACGCAATCCCGAAGGGAANCACTTCAAGTACCAGGAAAGCTCTCTTGGTTGGCTGTATGCTGCTAACGATACAACAGCTGTCGGGGATTAACTCTGTTATGTAAGTGAAAACGTTTTACTAATCATACAAGTTGAATTAAAAGCTTAGATTAGTGATCATCTGCAGAAAACATGCATAACTTTGACTAGAAGCTGATTAACAGTGACCCTTGCATTAAGGAAGGGGTACTTGGGTCAGATTTTAGTGGGTATGTGCCGCTGGCCTCTTAGAATCCCCAGCCCATTATACGGAGTCTCGGTGGTATTAACCTTAAGCCCTAAAACGGCCAATAATTCAGCCTTGAGGCGTAAAATAGGACAAAATTCTACCGTTAGTCGTACTAAAAGTTAACCGTAAAACTTTTCTTAATTGCAACTGAATCAAACTAATAATTAGCCGTAAAATGGCCAAAGTTTTAACCGTTAGCCGCAAAAGCCATCTCTCCACTGAGACCCTCATTGTATTCTATTTTGTAGCTTATAAGAGACCCCAACTTAATTACTTTTTTAACCATAAGTGGTAACTTTATTGAAAATGCAACCACCATGTAGCCAATCCAATCGTGAAAATGCGACCCATTTGGCAGCACATCCCAATAACCCATTAATTAAAACTATCACAAAATTCTCGAACGCGATTGGTCATCACCAGCCCGATTGAACACTGATAGGAAAGTGTACTTGTCGTGCTTGTAATTTGACAGCGTAATAGGACAATTAAAGGGACAGTTAACACATCTTGCCTGTGTAAGTGGACAGAATGCGTCCTGTGCGCGCGCCGTTATCGCGTAATACGCCAAGTTATCTTCTTGCTCTTTCCTTTTTTTAAATATAAAACTGTATAACTGATGTGTAGTTTTTTTTCTCGAACTTTGTCATAGTTTTAATTCATTGATAACAGGACTTCGTGTCGTCCATTTCGGTTCTAAAAGCATACATGTGATTAACAAATCGGACTCTCGCTTCGCAGTCGTGCAATTTTGTTAATCACTCGTATGATTACAGACCGAATTGGACTGCACTCAGTCTTATTACCATTATTAGTAGGAGTTACTTCCTTCCCCCCCCCCCCGGGCCTTTGCCGGGCCTTTGCATAACTGTGTCAAGTTATGAGAGAAAATTTAGGATAGATAGATTTGAATTCTTGTTAAAACTGTTTTATTTTTTTGGTTATATCCAGGTTCTACAGTACAACTATTATTCAGATGTCGGGACTACAGGGAGACCACGTGGCCTTCTGGCTGGCTGTTGCGGTCTACTTTGGTAATTTCGCTTTCATGTTCGTTGGAATGTATCTAGTAGAGAAATTAGGACGCCGTAAGCTACTATTAGGAAGTCTTGCGGGAGTCATCCTTAGTTTGTTACTACTGGGTGGTACATTTTTCATGGCGAAGCAACACGATGCTGCGATCACCTTTCACGAGAAAACACCCTTTGGTGTCGACAGTAATAAGTGTCCAGCCACCGGGTACTGCTTAGATTGCCTCCAGGTCCGAGAAAAATGTGGATTTTGTTATGCTAAAGACTCCGCTAATAATCCTATCAGTGGCTCGTGTATT